ATGGATAAGTTGTGGTTACAGTTTGGCAAGGGAAATGCACTTAGCATGCGCAAGATATGGCAGTAAAGAAAATCATGTGCAACGGCAAACAAATATTTCCCATCACTTGAGATATCTCTTCCAGAACCATTATAAATATATAATTTATTTCTGTGATAAGTTTAGTTAAGTCTTAGCATGTGTGTAAAGGCATTTTACTTTTGCGTGGTATTGTAGTTGGAGGGTTGGACTACAACTCTGGAGCCTTGGGGTTTTTGATTCCCAGCTTGGCCCTGAAATCCATGGGGTGACCTTGAGTAAGTCACACACTCTCAGCCTCAGAGGAAGGCAATGGCAAATCTCCTGTGAACAAATCTTGCCAAGAAAACCCTAAGATAGGCATAAGCTGGAAATGACTTGAAGACACGCCACCACCACGACCCTTGCTTTATTTTAAAAATGTGCAAACTATGTTTGTCTGTGGACACATTTGCAGTTTTGTAAAGGTGGGAACACCTCACTGTTTGCTCTTCACAGTAAGGGGATGAAAGCCAGTGAGGCTTGAAATGTCTGGCCTGCCAGATTATCGGAGCTGACTTCTCATCAAGGTATCTTTAAGCTTTATACATACTACATGCACTCAGACTTCCAGAAATCAATTGTCTGTGTACTATTATTACAGCTCCAGACCAACAAGTACAGTGCAGAGAGCGATGATATATCTTGCTGCTTGTGAGTAAAAGCTCTCAGGAAGAGGATTGCGTAGCCCTTCGTTTCAATGCAACCTTGTGAGAGTTGGTCTGGACGGGTGGGATTTGGGATTTTTATGTTCTGTTTAAATTATATTAATATATCTGTATGGAAATTTTAATGCTGTAAGCCGCCCCGATTGCTCTGCAGAGGGGCAGGATATAAAAAATAAATATTATTATTTATTATTATTATTATCCATCTGCATTGCAGAAAGAATCCAGCTTGACACCACTTTAACTGCCATGGCTCAATGCTGTGGAATTCTGGGAACTGTAGTTTTGTGAGGCCTTTAGCCTTCTCTGTCAGAGAGCTCTGGTGCCACATCGAACTCCAATTCTCACGTTTCCCTAGCATTGAACCATGGCAGTTAAAGTGGTGTCAAACTGGATTATTTCTGCAATGTGGATGCAACCTTTGAGTCCCCATTTTTTGGGTGAAGTGGGATACAAATAAATATCACCCAAACCTCTGCTTGAGGTTCAAGGTCCTTATATCCACGCCTCAGTTCTCTGGCCTGCGAAATGGGTGCAATGGCACCACTGTGGCTCGGTCATCTTTATTCTGGTAATGCCAAAGAAGGGGAGATCCCCTGTTTGGTTCGCTGGTGGCTAAAAGAAAGAGGGTGGCGTGATGGCTGTTGAACGCCAGTTCCTTCTGTCATTTATTCCTCTGCGAGGAGGGCGTCTTGTCTCCTGTTCACAATAAATTGGTGGAAAAATAAGTGGAATAGTTTGGCAAAAGCAAAGTGGAAAGCGAGGCTGCAGGAGTGGATGAAGTCAGGGGAGTTGGAGAAGAAAATGAGGAGCTGCAGCCGAGAGGCAAATGGCCAAAAAGGCTACAGACAATGAGGAGAAACTGGCTCAGAATTTGAGGATGAAAAAGGTAAGAAGGATTGCAGGCAAAAAGAGAGAGAGAGAGAGAGAGGATGCACCAGGATTTGTTTTGGGGTGTGTGTGTGTGTGTGTGTGTGTGTGTGTGCATGCATTTGTCTGTGTATTTCCTGCTGGCTGTCCTGCAAATTCTTTGTTCCTTGGACTGGCTTTCTGCTACAAAACCCACATGATGGAGATGGAGATGGAGATGGAGGGGACTCTGCTTAGGTCCTAATGCCTCTCGGAGGAGAAGGGTCACCTTGCATCATCTTGGCTTTGCCCAAGGGGAGGCCGGCCAGAAGGACATGGACACTTCTCACCACTTCTGCTTTCCTCCCCATTCCTGGTTATTTTTGCAAGCCCTGTCCGTCACTGGATCTCCCGTGACTAGCAAGCTTAAGATTCTTGACCGCTTCTTTCAAAATCCTTTCCATGGATCCCCAGGTGGACAGAGCCTCAGGTTCAAAACACAGTGGAGAAGTCATCCAGTTTGAAGTCACTTTGACTGCCCTGGCTCAGTGCTAGCGAATCCCAGGAATTGTAGTTTATTGTAGCACCAAAGGTTTTTTGACATCTCCCAAAACTACAGTTCCCCAAATTCCCTAGCATTGAGCCAGGTCAGTTAAAGGGGTATCAAACTGGATTATTTCTGCGGTGTGTTTTGGCTATGTCTGCTTTTGCAAGACTGGGGGGGGGGGGGGCTGGGTTTTTGCAGGCTGTCAGCACAAAAGTAGAAAAGGGAACAAAGCACAGAATGGAGCAAAATTGAGATACATACGTCAACCCACACCCTTCGGGACCACACGCCTTTTCACACTTGCACAGTTATAGCTCTGTGATTCCACTTTAACTGTCATGGTCCCGTCTTATGGAATGATAGAGTCACAGATGCATAGAGTTGGAGGAGACCTCAAGGGCCATCCAGTCCACTTTTAAATATGTTTTTATATTTTGTCTGTTTAATTACATTTTAAGAAGGTTGTCCTATTGGGGAAAGGGATGGACCCCGAGTCCTTCCGATTGTTTGTTTTATCTTGTAAGCTGCCTCGGTTGTTTCTAAAGAGAGGCGGGATATAAATTATTATTATTATTATTATTAACCCCATTCTGCCATGCAGGAAGACACCATCAAAGCCCTCCCTGTGACAGATGCCCAGCCAGCCTTTGCTTCCAATGGTCCCATGATTCATCTTGACAAAAAACAAAACAAAACCCGCACACATTGATAATTCTACTGATAAATATGTGTTGCGTGCCTTCAAGTCATTTCCAGCTTATAGCGACCCTAAGGTTTTCTTGGCCAGATTTGTTCAGAGGAGGTTTGCCATTGCCTTCACCTGAAACTGAGAAAGTGTGACTTGCCCAAAGTCACCCAATGGGTTTCATAGATGCAGGTCTTCAAAGTGTGCTCACCATCTGGTGGTGGTGGTGATGTGTCCATTAATTTTCCTGAGGGTCTGGTTTATTTCTTTTATTTCTTTTCATTTCTTTTTGAAGCAGTCGTTGTCTGCAGGTACCTCATCGGTGCTGGTTCAAATATTTCGGAAGGACTCGGGGTCCAGCTGCCCTCATGTTGTGGCTGGGAGGGCCTGTGTCTCTGCACACAAAAGGAAAGAGACTTCTGTCCTGATTTCTCTCCCCGATTTTCCTTGTAGAGTTGAGACGTAGGAGCAGAAGCGATGGAGATGCAATCTTACTACACCAAACTTTTGGGAGAGCTCAATGAGCAACGGAAGAGGGACTTCTTTTGCGACTGCAGCATCATTGTCGAAGGGAGGATTTTTAAAGCCCACAAGAACATTCTCTTTGCCAACAGCGGTTATTTCAGAGCGCTCTTGATCCACTACATCCAAGACAGCGGCCGGCACAGCACTGCTTCCTTAGACATTGTTACGTCAGAAGCCTTCTCAATTATCTTGGATTTCCTTTATTCAGGTAAGCTGGATCTCTGCGGGGAGAACGTGATCGAGGTCATGTCTGCAGCCAGTTACCTGCAGATGACGGACGTTGTCAACTTCTGCAAGACCTACATTCGGTCATCGCTGGATATCTGCAGGAAAATAGAGCGAGAGGCTGCCTTTTACCAGGCTGACAGTGGGAGTTCTAGTTCTGCCAGAGAAGGCACATCGTATGGCACTAAGAGCCAGTGCTCGGCGTCCATTTCGTCTCTGCAAGAGAAGGAAAGGATCCCGGATTGTCAAAGGGGGGACCCACCCTGCGGAGAGTGCAGCGGTTGCCACCCTGTTGAACTTGTGGTGAGGGACCCTGTGAGCAGCGACTCTCCCGACGACACAAACTCCTCGCTGCCCAAAGTGGTGGAGCCCAAAGTCGAGTTTGATGCCGATGAAGTGGAAGTGGAGGTGGGCGAGCGGCTCCAGCAATACCCGGCTCCGCTGACCATTGAACAGATAGAAGAAGGACTGCACAGTGGTCAAGCCATGGACCTGGCATGCAACAATTATCACATGAAACAGTTCTTGGAAGCTTTGCTGCGCAACAGCGCCACGCAAAGGAAGGACGATGTGGTCCACCATTTTGTCCGTGGCTTTGAAGGGAGGCCAGAA